GTCTCTTTCTGATGTTGTTTCAGGTCTACTAGGCCACCTGGCCAGAACCTGTGGGACATTGGAGGTGGCTCCTCTTTGTAGACTGCACATAGCTGGTGCCAGAGTTGTTTTTGTACCTGAGAGAGAAAGAGCTTATAGGGAGGAGAGGAACTTTTGGTGGTCAAATTCAGCTAACAGTTCTGCCTTTAGGTCAGGCAGTATTGGTGGAGGCCTGACATACATAATTTCAAAAGAGCTTAGGCCCAAAGTTTAGGGGGAATTTTGAACTCCATGAAGAGCAAAGGGGAGAAACCCAATCACCACCAATCTCAAGGGTTAATTTAGTTAAGGTCTCCTTAAGGGTCCAATTCATCCATTTTGCCTGGCCAGAACTCTGGTGGTAGTATGCACAATGAAGTTTCCAATTAGTCTCCATTACCTTAACTATCTTCTGTGTTACCTGAGAGATGAATGCAGGCCCATGTCTGAGCTCAAGAGCACTGCAAGGCCATACCTTGGGATAATCTCTTCTAGTAGCTTCCTCACTGCTATTGCAACCATTTCATATTTGGTTGGAAAGGCTTCAGTCCATCCTGAAAAGTATCCCTGATACTTGTATAATAATCATTTATAACCATATAGGCCTGGTTTCACCTCCGTGAAGTTGATTTCCCTGGAGGCTCCTGGTTGGGTTCTATTTTCCCAGTGCCCTGTCCTTGTGACTCCTCTCTTTGCACTCATGAGATGGCATGTGGGGCATGGGCTTATGGCCTCTGCTGTCTTAGATTTAAGGTCAAAAACTTTAAAGTGTACTCTCCTCAGGAGGTCTTGTATTTTCTTCTCTCCCAGGTGAGTGCTCTGATGTGTCTGTTGGACTAGTTGAGTGGTGAAATCTGATGGGAGAGTGATCCTTTCATCTGGGGTCTTGAATCATCCTTTCTCTTCGTAGGCATTTGTACGTGTATAGTTCCTCCGGAGCTCTCGGTCATTGTAATCTGGGAATTCTGGCAGCATGGGTGCAACCAGTTTCGGTGGTGAGACCAGCAGGATGTTTGCCTTCTGGAGGGCAGTTTCCTTTGGTGTTATGTCTGCCCAGTTGTTTCCCTTTGAAATGGTGTCTTCTCCTTTCTGGTGTCTGGACAGTGTGTAACAGCTATTTTCCTACACAGCCATATGGCTCATAAGAGATCTAAAATCTGTTTGTTTTTAATAGTTTTTCCTTCTGTAGTTAATAATCCTCTTAGCCTGTAGATAGCACCATGGACAAGTAATGTAGCAAAAGCATATTGGCTATCAGTGTACATGTTAGGTATCTTATCCTTCCCCAGCTGTAGTGCCTTAGTTAAAGTTACCAGTTCATTCTTCTGAGCTGATGTCCAGGAGGCAGGGCTTCTGCCCATATGACTGCATCCTCATTGGTGACTGCCCTGTGTACTCTGTACCATCCTTGATGAAACTATTGCTATCAGTATACCATGTTACTTCAGCCTTCATCAGATGGATATCCTTGAGGTTTGGTCTGATCTTTTCGGGATAACTCAGGATGTCCACAAGATCATGGAGAGGTTGGTCCAGGTCTGGGTCTGGAAGCAGGGTGGAAGGGTACAAGGCATTGTTGCTGATGAACTGGATTCTGGGTGTGTTTTAGAGCTGAGCTTGATAAGGGGTCAGCCAAACATTAGCCATTTATCAGGGGGGGGGGTGTTTAAGAACTCCATCTATAGCACGGGGGAGTCACTTTTAGGGCTTGTCCCAAAGTCAGTTTGTGTGAGTATTTAACTAGCAAGGCTGTTGCTGCTATTATGTGGAGGCAAGGGGGCCATCCAGTGGCACTTGGTCCAGTCTTTTGGGCCCCCAGCTACTTCCATGGGCCAAGGACTCGCTTCAGTAGCCCCCTTAGCAACTCCCTTTTTCTCATCCACATATAAGTGGGAGGGTTTGGTGACATCTGGTAGTACTAAAGTGGGTGCATTTAGTAGAGCTGCCTTAATTTCATCAAAGGCATTTCTCCATCTGTGGAGTCCAGTCAAGGGGAGCTTTCTCCTACCTTGTGCCTCATACGGGGGGCTGTGCCAACTCAGCAAACCCAGAATCCAAAGTCTACAGAACCCAGAAGACCCAAGGATTCTCTCACTTCTCAATGGTTGCTGGACCTGGGGATCCTCATGGTGGTTTCTTTTCTTGCTGTCAACAGCCATCTTTTGCCTCCCTTGAGATAAGTTACCTCAGTCTGGCAGAGTTGAACTTTCTTTGCTGACCGATGATATTTCAGGTCT